ATAGATAAGATTTAAACCAGTCTAGTGCTGTTCCTTTAATTCCAACAAAATATTCAAGTCTTTCTAAAAGAATATTATGGTTAACTGTATCAAATGCAGCACTAAGATCCAACAGGACGAGCACAGATACAAGTCCATTATCTGAGGCCATGAGAATATCATTAAACATGGAAACAAAATGTAACCAAATTCAAATCCCCACACACGTTTTTTACTACTAAATTTAAATTTATATAGACTAACCTGGTTTTAGCTATAGAGGCTTCTTCTCTCAACATCCCAGAAACTTCAAACATGTATGGCCATTTCTACATAAAAGAAATAACAGTATAATCAAAGCTGATTTTCTTTTTTAAAAGTTGAAATATACCTGTTTTTGCTGGTCAGTGCACTGCTGCTTAAATTCAATGTGGGAATAATTCTCTTTTGCGCATGTGCTCACATGCGTATTCGAACAGTGTATGCCGATCTGACAGCGTATGCTGTTCTGATAAACCACCGGCCTACTTTTTTAGCTTAAGGAGCTTTTCAAGTAATTTGTTCTGATGGTGTTTATTTATTTATTCATCAATTTATCTAGTGTAAATTGTGTTTTATATGTCTAATTGACAACAGATGACAAATACTTATATGTCTCACATATGTGCGAACCATTATCATTGCATTTTTGTCTTTTAATGTTATATTTCTATGCTACATAGAAAAATTAGATATCTTAATAACTGGTTCTTGAAATTAAAAACTAATAAATATATTTGTTTAAACATAAGTTACTTTGTAACAAAATTAAGTTAACATATTTTTTCAGGGATGGATTTAACCAGTTAGACAATGTGTGCATTGTTAGTTGTATGCAAATAAAGGGGAGGTTTCAAATAATTACCAGAATGGAAAAAAGTGATCCAGCTGCTCTATATGCAAACACAGAGAAAAACAGGACAAACAACCATTCACACGCACACTCACACCTAAGGGGACTTTAGAGAAGCTGGAGTAACAAAAGCAAACTTGTACACATTCAAACTGATTAGAGATTACCTACCATTTCATGCTGCTCACAGTTTTGTGCACTCCATGATCTTTTCACATCTAAGTTACTGCATTAGTTCTTGGTCACAGGCCACAAGCACTACTATCAAGCCTCTTCAGATGATATACAATAGAGCTATTAAATCTTAGATAAAAAAAAGCAATTAGGGCCCATCACTGTGTTAGTCTGAACAACTTAAAAATGCAAAATTTTGAGAACTTTGTCAAATTTGGTCAGTTAAAACTGGTTTACAAATGCTTGCATGATCAGGCCCCTGAGGTTTTGCGTGACTGTGTAGTTCCTCTCAGAGCTGTGGGCTCAGTCACAAGAGAAGCTCACAGTGGAAAATGTCAAGTACCCAGATGCAAAACTTCCTTCGGACAATCAGCTTTCACTGTACAAGGCACCAAAGCATGCACTGAAAAAAAGATACTTTGGATGAACTTAAAAAAATTACTGTAATTTGTTACACCTAAATTTATTACTTTATCTCAAATTAACTTTCTGATGTGGTTGAAACTATACATTTTGATTTACTAGAAATAGATTTTTTACCTTAAACCAAAGAAAGAAATTGCATTCATACCAAGTAAAACTTTAATGTATGACAAAGACTATAAACAAGTTTTATACTTCGTTAAAACTTAATTTTTCAATTTGGAAAAAACTAATTTA